GCATATGCAGAGGAAGAGTTTAGCCCCTTTCACACATACAGTACTGGTAAATCACCATTAATACATCATGTGTGAACAGGACCTTTTTAAAAATCCCGGTAAATTTGTTCTGGCGATCATATAGTTTTATGGAGATGACATGATTACTCTGAGCTGTTTACAAAGCTCCGCAGCTTTTTAATGAGTTATTCTATGTAAATATGCGCTAGATGGACATCTTTGACCATTGCGTCTCGCAGCTTTTCGTTGTGCTTCTCCATTCATCAGCTGCGACTCTGCAGTTGGATACTATTATACGTGTCTCGTGTTTATAAGAGCAAAACGTTCTGATTGGCTAGTAATGTTAGTTTGGTTGAGAGTGAAAGCTGTGCTCCTCTCATACAGTGGTAGGCGAACTCATTAACTCGAAAGTGATATCAACAAGTTTATTTATTTATTTTTTTTTTATATGTAGGACTATTTTTGTTTCCGCAGCCAAACACTGCACGCCGGAGATCCAGCACGGTGCCGGAGAACTTTAAGCCCTGAATATCTAAACATTCTTGAATCAAGATGCATTTACTTAACAAGTAATATGATTTAAGATATTAAGTCTTGTTTTCTAAAAATAAAAAAAATAAAAAATAAAAAAAATTTGTTTTTGCTTAAAACGAGCAGAAATATCTGCTAATGGGGTAAGAAAAATAATCTTAATTCAAAGGCTAAACAAGATTATTTTTCTTACCCCATTAGCAGATATTTCTGCTCGTTTTAAGCAAAAACAAATTTTTTTTTTTTTAGAAAACAAGACTTAATATCTTAAATCATTTCACTCGTACAGTAAATGCATCTTGATTCAAGAATGTTTAGATATTTATACTAGAACACAAGACACAAACACTAAGAGAATCATGTTTTGCAGTGTAATAAGTAGCAGCTTGAGTTAGGATGCAGATGTAAAGTGTTCATTAATGTCAGTGACATCTGTAAAAATTGTAGCAACCTCATTTTTATATGGTGAAATGTAATTATTCTGCCCGAGTTTTTTTTTTTATTAACCACTGGTCTTCCATAGTAGCATACATTTAAATCATGATAAACACAGTTAAAACCACATATAGCACCTCAATACCATGATAAACATATAACTGGTTTTTAGGTATTTGAATGAAAAACAGTAGTCTAAATACATTTAGTATAAATGCACAAACGCTATAGCTTAATCACAGAAAATACTGTAATTATATTCCATTATTCCTTTAATCGTTTTGTTCCGCTTTTGGCGCATAAACATTATATTAAACATTTATCGAACTCTCCATATCGTTTTATCAAGGAAAATTATACAGTGAAGATTCGCGATAATTATCGTTATTGATTTTTTGCCCAGCCCTTGGTTTATTTCACAGTATCTTTGTTATTGTCTTAACTCTTCCCATTTTTAATAACAAACAATAGGACAAACACAGAAAGACACAAGTGAAATAAACAGCGCTTGAAGTGTTTAACAGCAGCGCGACTAATTCGTACTAGACCGTGATCGGTGAGGTCATACGTACGTGTTGAGGCGGATGCTGGATTAATAATGACGGGAAACGCTGAGATGTTGAGGGTGAAGCCCTGTGAGAGACATGCTGATATATTTGGCTTTAATTAAATGTATTTAAAGGGGCGATTGCTTGCCTTACCATATTTGGAAACGCACAGCGTCTCCATGACAACAATACTACAGCGAGAATAAAAGCTACGCATTCTCTCCTTGCGTAAACATTTGGGCGGTGATATGCAAATCTTCCCACACAGTGATGTAGATATGTGGGGGCAAATCATGTCATTTGACCCCTTTAAACTGTAATTACATTCATTCATTTATTTTGACGCTGTATCTGCTTCATTTCATGAACTCCCTCAGAGTAGAGAACGATATTGTTGGGTTTTTCCAGCTGAGAAACGATAAACACTGACAGCCAGTCAGAATCCATTCAGGTTTAAAGGGCCGGCGCATTTAAAACAGCAGATGATGTTAGAGTTAGCGTCATTAGTCATAGCTGAGGTGTAGAAAAACACACCCGTTTAATAAGACAAACCCACTTTTCAAAGATGCTTTAAAAAAATGGATATCGGAATAAACTATTTGTTATACCCTCAGAATAAATGGTGGTATGCAGTGTTGGGGGGGATGCATTAGAAGTAACATGAGTTACATAATCAGATTACTTTTTTCAAGTAACTAGTAAAATAATGCATTACACTTTTTAATTTACAATGAAATATCTGAGTTATTTTAAAATAAGTGGCTTTGTTCAGTGACAGTGTTGAGAGAAATCGGGAGTAAATGCAGAGATAGAGGCTCTTGCTTCAGGCTGAGGATTATTCATTTCACTTTTGGTGTGAAAAGGCCTTTACAGCTGCCAAATATATAACTTTTGGGATTTTTGTTATTAAACAAACAAGCAAACCCAGCCCAGATGACAAAATGTAAACAATGCATTACTTTCGCAATTAGTTACATTTTATGAAGTAACACAATATTGTAAAGCTTTTGGGATTTTTGTTATTAAACAAACAAGCAAACCCAGCCCAGATGACAAAATGTAACAATGCATTACTTTCGCAATTAGTTACATTTTATGAAGTAACACAATATTGTAAAGCATTACTTTTAAAAGTATCTTTCCCCAGCAGTATTAAGGAGAGTATTAAAGAAGATTCGAGAAACCTAACAACCGCTGCATGATGCCGTTTGTCGTGAGGATAAAAATAACTTCCCAAAACATTCAATACGCTGATATTAAAAATGCATTTACTTCATGCTAAGAGCTCATGGACATAAACAGAACATAAATAAGACATCAACGGCAGCATTAACCACTTCTCTGAATGAACGCTCATTGAGTGTAAATCACATCAACAGAGCACGCCTGTTCCGACTGTTCTGACCAATCAGGATCAAGCAGGAAATGAGCTCGCCGTTACCTCTGTGTGACGCATCATCTCCTCCAGCTCAGAAATCTGAGTCCTCACTTGGTCTTCTTTGCTAATTAAGTAATGGATACTCTTCGATAGCTTCTCCTGTTGACAGAAAAGTGAAGCCTATTAGAACACAGTGGAAATAAACCGGCCTCCCGCATGATTTCTGGACAGAACGAGACACCTAACACAGCTTTTGTGAGTGCTGCGATCCGGACAGAACATCAAAAGACAGAAGTGATCGCATTAAGAATGAATGAGTCCCAGCTGGTGTTTGCAGTCGTCTAGTATTTCTGACTCGGCCGCTTCTTCACGCTCCCTCCCCGGACAGAAACACGAGCGCTTGTTTTCAGCTCGGGCATCAATACTTTAAAGGGGTCATGAATTGAGAAAATCGACTTGATCTTATGACCTATAAAGAGGTCATTTGCACTATAAAAACATGCTGTGAGTAGATGTTGACCAATCACAGCAGTGGACGCTTACACTGAAGTCTTAAAGAGACACGCCTAACTAAACCGTTCAAAGTAGGATAGAAAATGAACATTTATTTCTAAATTATGACTCCTACTAATAGTCATACAGCTCTGGAAAAAATGAAGAGCCCACTGGAACATTCTAAGTTTCTCTGGATTTACTAGGTGTGGGTTTGAGTAAAATGTTCATATTTATTTTATTCTATAAAGGTCTGGTAACATTTTTTCCATAAAAATATTGTCATTTAGAGGTTTTTTTTGCTGAAAATGACAATTTGCCAAAATAACAAATGATTTCATTTGTTGCGATTGAAAATCAGGGTTATTCCACCAAATATGGACTTCTTATGAAGTTAAAACATTAAAAATAAATATAAACATGTTTAAAAACATGGCATCTTTTTTTGTTATTTTGACCATTTATCCAAAAAATGCTCTAAATTACAAAATTTTTATTTAAAATATGGAAGAAATGTCTTCAGTAGTTTACAGAATACATTTTTTTTTTAATTACGTTTTACTCAAACATGCAACTAAAAATCATAAATCCAGAGAAACTGAGAGTTTAAGTGGTCTCTTCATTTTTTCCAGAGCTGTAAGTGCACTATGGAAGCCCATTTCTGCCACTGAATAATAAAAAAAAACAAGAAAGTGTGACTTTTTAATCTCACCCTTATCATTTTCTTCTCAGAATTGCGAGGTATTAACTCTCAATATAAACTCTGAGAAAACTACTCCTGATTTCAAGGAAAAAGTCAGAATTACAAGATATAAACCCAATATGAAATCTGAGAAATTAAGTCAGAATTGCACGATAAAAACTCACAATTGCGCAAAAAAAGAAAAAAATACAGAGTAAAAAGCAAGTAAACTTGCTGCTATTTTGAGAAAAAAAGTCAGAATATTATCTTTATCTTTTTTTTATTCTGTGGTGGACACAAGCTTCCATAGAGCACCTCAGAAAACATTACAAAATAAAAAATGCTGTTTATGAGCTTTTTAGGAGCTCTTCTGAACATGGACAGATGAATGTTACTACACTGGACGCACCTTGAGGATCTTGTAGGCGCTGCTCATGGAAGTGACTCTGTGATTAGCGTGAGATCCGCCGAGCTTGCACAGATGACACACAGGACGCCGGCACACCTCACAGTACATGTTGACCTTCTCCATCTCGTGCTCGGGACACATGAGCACCTGGAACCCAGGGTTTGATGGGTTAGATCAAGGACAGCAGCTGATATAGCGCAGCGGTGGCGGGGTTGATACGGACCTTCGGTCTGAAGTTGGTGGTGGGTCCCACATACTCGTGCTGGGCTTTGGGCGTTCCCCAGGGGTGGTTCATCTTGAAGCACTCGTTGCAGAAGCTGGCTTTGCAGTCCATGCAGCTCTTGGTGGCCTCCTGAACGGGCGGACACACACACACACACACACACACACACACACACACACAATGAAGCACTAGTGATCAAACAAGATCAGACACACGTGGAGTGACTCAAACTGAACACAGGACAACAGCAGCCACTGATCTGGACACGAGAAACACTAGATCAAAAAATGGCAATTAAAAACAAATTTTAAGCAAAAAAACCTGAATGACAGGCATGTCTGCAAGTTATTTCGCAGCGCTGAATGAGATCAAGGTCACTCTTTTTAAAGCTGCGGTGCGTCATTTCTGCTCCACCAACAGAACTGATGATTTCCTGACAGGTTTCCACTAGGGCTGGGAAAATAAACCGATGCATCGCGAATCGAGAAATGATTCCGCATCGATTCTGAGATTTTCCGAATGCGTGGCGATTCTTTCTCCAGTCGATTCTGAGCTTAGTTCTGAACACTGCATGCTTCAGAAACAGCCGAACTCTGCTCGTCTCCAAATCCTTACACACACTCGAACCTAAAATAATCATTCATAAGGTTCGAAAAAGTTGAAGCGTGTTCACAGTGGTCTGTGTTTACATTAATCTGGCATCATAAAAGCATTCTGAGCCGAGGTGAAGTTACAGACTCAGCTGAACGTACAAGTGCTCTTCTTCATGAGCATTTGAGTGAGCAGATAAAAACTAGAGTAGAGCGCCATCTGCTGTTAAAATATAAGCTCAGAATCCATTCCAGAGAGAATCGCGATGCATTCAGAAGATCTCAGAATCCATCCACGAATCAATTCTGCATCGATTTATCGTCGCAGCCCTAGTAGCCACAAACACTCCGTCTATCATTGGTCAGTCTAACAGACAGCCCCGCCCCAAACACACATCATTGGTCGAGTCAGGTGATGACATGTCTGGCTGCTCAGTGTTGTGAAGCGTCAGTTGCTTTGTCCTAATACCCACACTTGCGGTCTTTGGGCCTTTTAAGACCACAAGTGTGTGTAGAACTTTTCATTACCTGATGGGACACACTTATAGTGTTGTAAAAATGCAAGTGTTTACATAGCTTTATTTTTGTTTTAAATACTTTGTGTTTTAAATTCAACTTCAAATTCAAACACTAAGTGTCTTTCCAGAACATGATGGGATACACTAAGCCTGGAATAGCGCTCTGGAGCCGTCCTGGAGATAGTGTGGGTTTAGTGTGCGTTAAGGGCACTGCGCTTTGGCGTTTTTAAGACCTGGGACAGTCTTGAACACGCGCTCTCAAGTGGCCAAGATTGCAAGTGTGAGTATTTGGACAGGGCATGTGTTTCACTCAATTAGTGATGCAATGAAATTAAGATTCTTTTCCAGAAACAAAACCGGAAAATCTGGACACACTGTGCTAAAAACAGAAATTGGACATGATTCTTTTGATTGCAGTTGTTCTTCCCTGAGGTTATGATACTAACATGACATCTACACTCCAACAACAACTTTAAAATGTTGTATAATACTTTAAAGGAGACCTCTTATGCCCCTTTTGTCTTATATTACAAAATGTAACATAAGTCTCAGATGTCCCCAGAATGTGTCTGTGAAGTTTCAGCTCAAAATACTCCACAGATCATTTATTATTATATAATTTTGAAAATGCCCATTTGGAGTGGAAGCAGAAACAGGCTGTTTTTGTGCATGTCTCTTTAAATGCAAATGAGCTGCTGCTGCTCCCCGCCCCCTTTTCCAGAATAGAGCTGCACCTTTACAGCTCATATCTCAGATCTCTGCCAAAAAACATCTGTTTGGATTTGATTATGTCTATCGTGTTGAAATCATGCGTTTTAAAGCCATATCAGTTTAATCTTCTGATACAGGGTTTTCTGAGCGCACAGAAAGCATCCGTCACACGACATACGAGTACTAAACTAAGTTCTCTTTCATGTCTTATTGCGCTTAAACTGCCAAATACACACAAGTCTGTTAAAAACACACGAGTTACAAAAACAGTGGGTTATGTCTGTGAAGGTAAACAGCTGGGAAATAAATCTCATGTTTATATTAGATCTGTGTGGCAGCAGCAATATACAGTAAACAAATCAATAAATGCACTGCTCTGTTGTCTCTGAGGCTGGGACTCTAAACAGTGTTCTGTGCTCGTCTGTGCAGCTAAACACAGAACAGTTAGCGTGTTTTGCTCAAACTTTCTCCTTGGCATTAGAGCTGGTACACCGTTGTCGCTTGTGAAAACACAATGACGGCGTTGTGGGTGGAAACATGCAGATTAAGGGGCGGTAATATTATAATAACATCCCTTCACTACGTCGCCGAGGGAGCGAGATCTGAGCGGCTGGTTTTTTCACAAGCTTGCAGAGAAAGCCTTACCAAAACAAAGTTACTGGGTTGCCCTTTTTCAAGTTTTCTGTGATGCACTGGGGACCCGATTATAGTCAGATTTTCATGATATTTCACCTTTAAAACACTGCTTACATTAAGAACACACAATGTTTATTTTTCCTCTTCCAAAGGAACGGTGGCAGGAGCTTCTCTGGCTGTGTAAACAGTGGCATGAGACGGTGAGCTAAACAAGCGTAACCCAACCCTAACCTAGAGTTTAACTGCAAGCGTGACCTCATTACGGTCAACACATCCATTATTAATCACTTTTACATTCAGTGCTAAGACTGTCAGCCTTTTTCAGTGCTGAAAGCATGTGTTCTAGCGGTGAGGGACAGATGATCACACAGCAGCTTTAAAGCGAGATGAAGCTCTCTCTGCAGACGGTCCAGGTCAGTGTCATGGGCTTCTGCAATGGGCTTTCAAGCATTGATGGCAAAGAACAGCAAAATGAAATGCAAACAAACACCAAACGAGAGACAGCACCACACCACACAGACGGAAGGGGCGACGCATGCGGACGATGATGAGCACGGGCCGGGTTCAGATCGGGACATGAGTGAAATAAAGCGTGTACTTGGACTGAGTGTGCTGCGCCGCACGGCATGCTGGGACCTGATGCTGCCGCAATGACACTCAGCGCAGAGGGGAGAAAATAAACGCTCAGACCAGAAACAGGCCGATCCCTACAAAACCACAGAACCGCATGGGTACCAGCGGCTCACGCTCGGGATGGGTTCGTCTGAGTCGGAAGGGTGGAGCGGGTTCTGAGACGCAGCTTGAAACAAATCCTGAGCAGTGGTCGACTGATATATCGCCAAGGCCAGTATTTGGCATTTTTCACATATTGGCATCGGCCGATAAGTTTTTCTGTTTGGCCGATGTGTTCGAGGCGGGACTTATATTTTACACACAGTGCTCACATTCTCCTCTTGTTCGCTGTCGTCGTTAACAGTTCTGTCTAATACGGGTAATAATCAGATAGAACTGTTTAACAACGGGATTAAAATGTATAAAAAAAAATATTGTAACGATTGCTTTTATATTATTAGTAATAGAAAGATATTATAATACTTTCTCATTTGCCGTCAGCATTTAGTAAATACGCATTTATATAATTTAAACAAATCTTTGAATGGCTAATGAACATTTAATTTCGCAATCACCAACTTAGTCGAATCCAGCTGTGAGATCTTGTGACGTGTGCATGTGTATCCTGCATGATCGCGTGTTCTCTGCGTGACTTTCGGTGCTAACTGAATGCTTTAAACATTAAATTTGTGATTTCAAATTATCGATTTACGCACTGTCATATTCATGTCATTTTCACTGTGTGCTGTGTGTAAAATGAGTGTTACTTTGACTTTATTTGAAAAAATATGATTCCCAATGCACACAAACTTCCCAGAATACTGAGTGCTCTGCTGGTTACAGTGTTTACTACCTTTTTTATTATATTTTTATTAAATATTTATTTGTGAAAAATACTTTGTCATCTAAAGTACAAGTATGTTTATTTTACAAATTTATTTTTTAATCCATTTTCAAATGATTTCAAATTTCTTAAATATTAATGAAAATAAAATTATATTAGTCACCCTGCTTTCCAAGACATCGGCAGCGGCTGTTAAAAAACCAATATCGGTCGCGCACTAATCCTGAGCACAGAAGTGTATTACGTGACCAGACGTTCTTTACACAGCCTGCTGCTAGTATTTATTGAGTTGCTGTGGTCTAGAAGAAAAATGTCTGAGTATTGTCTCTGCATGAGATGCTCTGGGATTCCTGTGTTCCTCCACAGCAACATTACACACTGGCTCTCACGCTCGCGGTCCAAACGCAGTCTGTACGAGAGATTTAAAGCGACATTTCTCAGGCCATCCAAGATGTAGGTGACTCGTTTTCTTCAGTAGAACAGTAAAGAAGATTTTCAGCTGAAACCGTGCTCCTTGGTGACTCATAACATGCAAGTCAATGGGTACCGGCACTTTGAGAATAAAAAAAGCATAGCAAGGAACACAATATGAATCCCCGTGGCTCCTGATGATATATTGATATCTTAAGAAGCGAAACGATCGGTCTGTGCAAGAAACTGAACATTATTTATGACATTATTATCTGTAATCCAGAGCCCCAGGCAAATGTGTAAATCTGATTCTTGTCCATTAACTGGTTCTGTTGGTTTAATTCGTTTCAATGAACTGGTTTAATTCATTAGTTTGTTTATGTAATCACACAATGACATCACGTATACGCAATTATATTATTAAAGCAGCCAATAATAATGTGAAACGTGGATGTTTTATAGTTTAAAGCATATAAAGTCAATAAACTAGTCTTCATCAGCTCAGCTTTTTACATAAACCACGAGAAACCATGAAAACGTTCATCTCAGCCCTTCATTCGAGCTCTCGGTTCACACATGCTCATAGCAGCGGCTCATCGGTCTTCGGTCCGAGTCGAACCGTTTCCTCGGTTCAGTGACTGCTGGAGGAACTGGAGCTGAATCCGTTCATTCATCACAGGATCAGATACGCAGATATTTCAGCTCATTTCCAGTCGCAGTGACTGTCAGGCGTCTGGAAGTGAGTTTTGATCGAGTAACTGGTAGATCTGTGCTGCTCGAGCCGCAAACTGATTCAGACGATTGTTGAACTGGTTCAACTAGTTCACTAAAAAGAGCCAATTCAGAATAATGATTCGTTCGTGAACCGGACATCATTCCGGATGCTTTGTCTGAGGCTCTGGATTACAGTAATAATGCTGTAAATAATGTTCAGTTTCTTGCACAGACTGATCGTTTCACTTCATAAGACCTCAATATATCGTCAGGAGCCGTGTGTATTAATTCTGTGTTGCCTGATATGCTGTTTTTGACTCTCAAAGAGAGAGCTGCATTTTGTTGCAGACAGTTGACTTGCATGTTATGAGTCACCAAGGAGCACGGTTTCAGCTGAAAATCTTCTTTACTGTTCTACTGAAGAAAACGAGTCACCTACATCTTGGATGGCCTGAGAGTTAGTAAATTAACAGCAAATGTTCATTTCTTTAAGCGGCAGCCCGCCGTGATTCGTTCCTCTGTTGTTTACGCAAAGCGTTGCGCGCGAGAGTACAGGGGGTCTAGAGACAAAGTACTCAGTCACTACGGCTAATTAAATTACGTAACCCACATCTACCTCTCGCTCCAAACGACCTCCTCAGCGAGGCTGCAGGCAACAGAGAACAGTGAAACAAGACTAACAATGGTTAAACGTGAACAGAAGTGGAGTGAAACCTGATTCACAACCAATGACTGTATGAACATGAAAACAGCATCACATTTCTTGGGGAAAACTGCAATGAAAGCCAACAGTGTAAAAGAAGAGATGAGGAGACACTAAAACAGCAGACCAAAACCTGCTCAATCATTCCTGCAGTGATAAATAACCACAAAACATAAGCTCGTGTAACTGAATCTGCTGTTGATCTCGTCCTAATTCTAGGAGGATAACAAGAAACAAACTATTTTTGGACCTAGACAAAACACGTAATCTAAAATAATGCAGTTTTATAAATACTAATAATAAGCTCTTTATGCTAGATCCGGCTTTCTGCAAGGTAAATAAGACTTAAGACCTTTTTAAGACCAAGTAAAGAAAATATCTTTGCTCCCAAAAAGTAGAATATGGAAATAAGTTCACTTTTACTGCACCTTCTGATCACACTGGCAAGGAACAGTGCTGTTCTTCCTTAGTATTCTTATTTTGCAGAGCAAACATCTAAACATTCCTAAATCAATTTACATTTACTTGAAAAGCAAAATGACTTGATGTGAAGTCTTGTTTTATGAGACATTTATCCAAACGAAGTGAGTTTATGATTGAGTTTAAGACCAGAACAAATATCTGCCAAAGGGTTCAGAAAACCCCCAACTTAATTCAGAGAAAACTAGTTTTCATTCCACATTGACAGATATGTTCCTATTTTAAACAAACAAGTTTTGCTCAATTTTGTAAACATATATTAATTTAAGGATGTCAAACAAGACAAAAACACTGAGTAAGATATTAGGTTGCTTTTTTTTTGCAGTGCATGTGTCATTTGATGCCTGTACTTTCTGCTATTCAATTTAGACTCAGATCCAAAAATTAAAAATGCATTGCAAGTGGATGTTTATTCACCCTGATCAATGAACTGCACTATACGTGACCCTGGAGCACAAAAGCAGTGTTAAGTCGCTGGGGTATATTTGTAGCAATAGCCAACAATACATTGTATGGGTCATACATCAATGGAAAGCTTATTTATTCAGCTTTCAGATGATGCATAAATCTCAATTTCACTGGTTTTGGTCACACATCATCATCACACTCCTCTGTTAGAGTGATATGTAATGTGCACGGTGTCAGGGCGAGGGCTACCTGATCGCACCAGGCGCTCCAGCTTCTCCATGCTGGGGGACGGGACTCTGGCGCGAGGGCTGCCCGGGTTGGAGCTCTCGGATCCGGCGTCGGTGCTCAGAGAATCGTCGTGGTTGGGCATGAGCAGCTCTCGGACGCAGCGGTGGCACACACTGTGCTGGCAGGGCAGCACCAGCGGCTGTGTGAAGAGCTCCTCACAGATGGGGCAGATCAGCTCCCGCTCGATGCTCTTCATCGGCACCTGTCGAGAAACACAGCTTCAGCAGGAGCCCGAACAAACCTCGGAGATCACGCGCGCGTTTGGGGAAGTCGCTTCCATTCTTCACTTTCGTCTTTCTGTTGCGAGCGTCAAAACTACGTTAAACTCTGTCGCAAGGACGAACGAACGTCTACAAGGCATGGTTTATTTTAAAACACATTTTTAAAAATATATTAAATAAATTCTAAACAGTCGGTTCAACTTTCCCTCAGCAAACAACAGTGGTTTCATTCAGGATTCGAACCGGATTCAGGACTTACTAGCAGCGAGCTTCGCCTGGACATCGTGCGCAGAATGAAGGACAAACTCCGCGATTCGGATCCAACTTCGCAAATGAGAGACTCGCGCAGATCGAGGATGAATCAAACAACGCCACGCAAACGCGACCAGCCGAGTGTGGGCGGAGTCACCGGCCGTCACTATAGCAACCCCGCAGCGAAACTATTTAGTAATTAAATAAGGGGCGGGGTCCGCTACAGAACGATACTTTACACACGAGGCAGATCCACGACGTGTTAAAGCTTTCTTTTTGTATTATTTGTTTATTTTTTGTTATATACATGCATAAATGGTGCTTTGCTTGTAATATAACTTCTTTGTGTCTAATTTTGATATTTTTTGTACTTACATTTTTGATACCTTGGTATTAATTAATAAATAAATAATGTATGTCCAAGACGACGCCAAATGCTTCACAGCACGCCCGACAAATGAGCTTATATTCACTGACAACATGATGCAAAATCTTTATTTGACCCTCTAACTATAGCACTCTCGATCCGTTTTCTAACAGCTTGTTTTCTTTTTGTTTATATATATATATATTTATAAACCTTGCTACGTACTGCGTTAGACTGAGACTTGTCACAGCTCTTGCATATGACTGCTGTTCTGTTGGTCTGATTGCTTCTGTTGTCATCCTCTGTAAGTCGCTTCGGATAAAAGCATCTAAATAACTGAATGTGGAAAACAAGGCAAGGTGCAGCAGTGACGTCATACGAACGGGATTCTGACAGCAGCGGATGAACGAGCGATTATTTCTCCGTGACACCGACTGACTGCAGAGAAATACAGTCATAAAGCATCGACATCATGATATAAGGACCGATCACATTTTCGCAGATCATCAGAAGATGAAGCTCACCTCGCCGCTCTCGAGGCGCTCCACGATACTCGCGAACTCCGACATGTCCGAGTCAGACATCCTGATGAAGATGAAGATGGAGATGATGATGAAGATGGTCTGATTATCCTCGTACCGGCATCATCCGCTCGCCCAGAGATCTAGAGAGAATTTATTCAACTTGAGCACCGTCTCGAAGACGCGAGACCCCGCCCACTCGCTGGCTCTGTGGGCGTGGCCTCGCTGACTGACAGCTCTTGGTGCAGATTCATCAGGTCACACACATGAACAGATAGATGCTCAGTGCAGCACATGTGCACAGCTCCTGAGAGCAGCAGTATCACACAAGCAGCCCTGATGCAAACACATGCTTTGTGTAGACATGATCAAATACTGTACAAGTCTAAGAGCATGTAACCCAGCAAAGGAGGACAGCAGATGGCAGATTTACCTCATTAAACATCACATATATGATTTCACTGCATATGTGGGTCATTCAGGCTTTCTCTGAACATATACTTTATTCTGTGGTGTAAATCTCAGTACAAGCAGCACTTGAAATCTGTCGAGTAAAACTCAGAATCGGCACAAATATTCAGCACCTTTGCCTTTTTATATGAATTATTCATCAGTGTTTTTGCTCCCGCAACCAGATGTTTGACGCACCACATCCAGCAGTTTACAGACATCTCGAACCGTTTGATGTTTTGAAGGTTTGACGTTAAATCCAAACCACCTTTGACCCATAATTCTGCATGATTGTTCTGTATATGTGAAGCAGTGTCTCTGGAATATCTCCCTTTATTCTATTCTAGGAGATCCAGACAAGCTAAATGTTTTTCAAAAGAATAAAGAAATAGTTTTATTCAGGCATTTCCATTCAGTGGCTACTTCTAAGAATATGTACTGTAGAATGAAATAATGTTCTTAAACATTACATTTCTGTGTACGTCAATATCTTCAATCTTACATTTTGTTATTCTAGTGTCAAAGGAAACACAGTACAGACAAACAAGGACGTGTTTGAGTCAGTGTGTGTGTGCATTCTAAGTTAATGATTTAACAAAGGGATCTTTGCTCACCTACACATTGCCATTAACAAGTGTGTGTGAGTGTGTGTGTGTGTGTGTGTGAGTGAGTGAGTGTGTGTGTGTGTGTGTGTGTGAGAGTGAG